GGTACAGACAATTTTTTCTGCACCTGCGCATTCAGCGCCAGACTGAGATGGTGCATTTTTGGGCCAAATCTATTTAGAATTGGCAAAGTAGGAATAAACTACTTTATTAGTAGAAAAAATGGGAATCATTTCCATCATTCCATATCCTTTATATTTCTTCTTTATGTCCTAAAAGCACAGTTACCAAAGTGTTCTGCCCGGTTGCTTGAAAAATAGATTTTGGGCTTTCCACACAAATCACAAATCCATTTTAAGCCATTTCTAATTTTGAAGTTTAAGCCAATACTATTAAATTATCCGTAATCCAAGGAACTTCTTTAAATTTTAGCAGTATGCTCAGCTACTAACTTATATATATTAGTACATCCAAGTATACATGAAAGCTTATCTCGTCATTTAAAATTCCAAAGTTAATGGGAGCCTTCATTTGAACACAATAACAAAATTTATTAATCACTAAGCCTCTTAAATTTAGCATCGTCTGGGTTATTTGAACTCAGCCATTGAGCTTACTATTGAATTAAATAACACCTCAGCGTAATAATTTAACATTTTTTGCTACCAAAACAACGTGCATTCCATGGTAGTCATTTACACTAAAAATCTCCTTTTCTCATTCCCAAAAAATAAATAAAAACACATAAACATGCGTACCTATTTCTAAAGTGTTGAACGTTTACCACCTTAAAGCTTTGTTCCTCTTTTTATACGGGGAATAAATACATTTTATGGCAAGGATATTGGCAGAAAATTGTTGTTGTACAAAAACTAAACCGTACATCTAAAAAATGTGTATACATTTGCAAGTTAAATACGTGAAGACCGCTGCCATAGTAAGAACAATGAAAAAAAGGTCAGCTTAATAGGGCAAATGAAAGATTGTTAATTGCCATACTTAAACACCTGGGCTGACTACTGACCCACCCCAAGAGACTAAAAGCTGAAGTGGTGTCGTTGAGTGTAGTTAGTAATGCGCGTTGAACAAATGTGGCTGCAAACACTGTAAAGCACACGGTTAATGATGGTCAGTTTCTGGTGCAAACGAAAAAAGAGGGCCATATGGTAAAAATTAAATGAAGGACATTTGTTGTTCCGCTTATTAATAGAAGTCATAAGCAGGGCCGAAAAAAATAAGCAAGAAAAAATAAATTTTAAGCGCTTTGAAGAGCCTTAAACATTGGTTAATATGCTTACAAATATGCTCGAAAAACAACAGAAAACTTAAGTGAAGTTTAGTATTTTGTTTTATTTCACTTTATTTGAAGGATTACTTGATATCCTCAAATAATTAAGATCTGTTCTGGTAGTTTAACAGCGTCTAATATACTTTTATATCATATACCAGCGATGGGCAGGGAGAGCTTTTCCTCTGCACGCGCCTATACCAAATGTATAGAAAGCTTAAACGATCTTTACCCGCGGGCAAGGCAGTTCCCATCACTGTTATACACATACCACATGCGCATATTTAATGTGACCAGCTATTTCATAGCTCAAAGAGGTACAGGTTTGGTTGGGTTAAGTTAACGCCGCCAGACGATTGCGAAATTTTGAACGCGGCTAATTTCGATCCCTGAGAGCTCAGTGTTTGTTCAGAAGTGCGAGCCAAAATGCTTCCATCTTAGTCTCGTGAAGGTTGGACAGTCTTAAAGAAATTCTGGAGAAGATTCCACTTCATCTTCCTCTTGACAGCTGATACAAAAGGATCTGTCGAAATTCCTAATCTCACCGCATGAATACCAATCGCGCAATGGCCTGTCGGAACTCGCATCACTAGGCCTTGAGAGGTAAAGTGTTTAAAGTGCCCTATAAAAGCATTTGCTGCAGTAGAGAAACGTCTTTTTTCCTTTTTTATGACACAAAAGTACCCGGTTTCCTTTAGTCTAATAGCAGTTCATTCTGCGACAATTCAGAGAAGGGGTCCTTGAAACAATATAGGCTTAAATCTGCTTTCCTAGAGCAAATTAATTAATTTGGGCGAGAGACTCCACCATTTACCGATAGCTCCCCTACAGCAGTATAAGGCAACCGAACAAAAACGATGAGATTGATAGGCCCAAAATCCACAAGGGAAACATGAGAGCCTTACGCAATACTGACTACCCTCTAAGCCTTAGGATCCAACCAATTGCACGACACTTTAATGGCTTGAACGAACTTATCGGCCAGGCCATGTGACGATCGTCCAGAAGATCGGAGAAGTAGAGGATCTGGGGAGAGATTCTGTAACCAGTTAGCGACAATTTTCGAATAGCTATCCCACTTTTTGACGCAAAAACATTTATATCATCAAAAAGTGCGATCGCGATCCGAAAATTGTCGCTTTTACAGAACCTCTTCCTGAAGTACGAAATATCGGAAAGAAGTACATTTGACTGTACTTCGATGTACGAAGTATAAGAGCGAAAAAAGAAGTACTGTACTTCCGAAAGATGTACGGTACATGTGCAAATATAAAAAACTATAGATATGAATATGAATTTGAATGTGAACATAAACATTTATGAATAAGAATACGAAAAGGAATATAAATATGAATGCAAATATGAAAATGAATATGATTATGAATAATAATATGAATATCAATATGAATTTGAATACCAATATCCATATCAAGGTCAATATTAATAGGTGTGTATTAGGAATGGTAATCCCGGGATCCCGGTCTTTTTTAAGTCTCGAAAATCTCGGGATTATTTTCCTATAACCCCGGGATTTTCGGGAGCTGTAATTTACACTGGTGGCAATAATATAAACGTTTTATGTTGAACAGTTTTGGCTTTATTTCTTTCGTCAATTTAATATTTAACATTTTTTTTATAAACGTGTAGCTCAATATACATATAACACCTTGGGGCAGGCAATTTTGAAAAAAAAAATCAATATATTCACCAAATAAAGTGCCCTATATATAATAAAATTGCGTTCTTAATTTTTCTCTCTGACGTCAGAATTTTTTAAAAGAACTTTGAAATTTGAAGGATATGGGTAATTCAAAAAATGATTTAAAAATTTCAGTGCAATATACTTAAAAAACTAGTATGGGTATCAAATGAAGGCGAAGTTTCTGTAGAGTTAAAACACATTACATTTTTTTGGTGCGTAAGGGACGGGTAGGTATTGAAAATACCCTTTTATAATTTTATCCTCGAATATCCTAGAAATTTTTCAATTCTTATTTTTGAAAAAATTATTTTTTAAGCACTCTCTGTATTAGCTCAAAAAAATAGAATAGATTAAAGGGGCATTTTCAATTCCTGTTCGTCCTTGTGAACCCAAAAAAGTTATTTTATTTGGCATCCATACTTTTGTTTTACATTGCACTGAATTTTTTAAAATAAATTTTGGAATTAACCATATCTTTGAAATTATAACGAGCCCTAACCGCCAAAATAACGTAAGTGACACTTTTTTTCAAAATTTTCGTTTTGATGCAGAAATACATTTAGATACCCTAGGTATATTTCTGCTTCAAAAAGAAAATTTTGAAAAAAATGCCGTTTACGTTATTTTTGCGGTTCGGGCTCGATAAAGTGTTTAAAAACAAATCATGACGTCAGAGAATTGCCCATTTATATGCAGTTAATTATGTGTAATATGAGGTAGACTTTTATAAAAAAAATTAAAGTTTGGGTAAACAAAAGGACAAATGTAGACAAAACTGGTCGAATTAAGGCGCATCTTTTATATCAACCAGAAAATAAATTTTTTTCTTTAATTTTTTTTTTTTGCATCGAGCTTTTTTCGACATACCTTAAATTACTTTATCAGATATGTACACACTAATGTATTACTAAATGCATATAAATTTAATTACTGTCGTTCGTTTTGTAACTTATGAAATAAGTTTCACTTTAAATTAAAAGTACGTTTCAAACTCATTTACTTTTTATTTGTTATATGGAAGGAGAGTTTCGCAAACCATATTGAAGCAATTTTTTCATGTTAATTCGTTCAAAAATAATAAATATCTAAATCCTGGGACTGATGCCGGGAGCCCGGGATTGAACCAACGCACATCCCGAAAATCCCGGGATCGTAAAAATCGAAAAAGCTAACATCCCTAGTGTGTATAGTAACTTTTCTAGTAAAGAATTGCAGCGGAGAGTAAAATCAAAATAGAGCGTAAAATTGAGAAGAAGAGAAAACTAGCAGAAAAAGTTCTTGAACACAAGACTTGTAAAAACTTGCAAGTGAACAGTTCTTGCACTCTTTTGACACATTTTTACAATTTATAAATCAGTTTTAAACTCTTTTCTATACACACACGTACTTACACAGTGAGTAGTGCGTCATTCACACTTTGATTTCCACTCATTTTACTTTTGTTTCAACAAATGGCGGCTTTTGACATTTATCCTTGTTCTTCTTCTGCTAGCTAATTGCTGCTAGTAAAAATTTCACTAGCAAGACTTTGCTGCTCTCACGTGTTATTACGCTCTCGATTCAATGCTCTCTTATAAATTTTTTGGGTATTATACACTTTTACAGTAAAAATTTGAAGGTTCCAGACAAATTAGTACTGACTTTTTGTTACTATACACACCAATATGAATGTGAACGAAGGAGGTATTTCAACCAATTGTCACTATTCACTTTGGTGGCCCAATTCCACACTCAAACCATCCGCGTTAAACAAAGTATTCACATACATATGTATAAAAACGAAACTTTAACTACGTACCAGTGATGTCTTATTAAGTTACGACAGCTTAAACATAAGGACTACCTCAATACGAGGATGGTCCCAGAAGTACCAGACCTAACAATGAAAACAGAAAAATTTTGCAAAAAAATATATTTATTTTTCAACATAATCTCCTTTCAGCTCTATACACTTTTCCCAGCGATTCTCAATAAGTTCGATACACTTTTTATAATAAGAACTGGCTTGCTCCTCAAAATAGCCATTAACTGGCGACATCATTTCTTCATCGTTAGAAAATCTTTGACCACGGAGCCATTTTTTGAAGTTGGGGAACAGAAAATAGGCTGCATGAGGTAGCAATTCAAACATTAATTCATTAATTCGCTAAACACTCAATTGAAACCTCTTCACGACACTGTTTTTGGTCGAGTGTGAGCAAATGCGGCACCCATCTTGGACACTGCTTTCTCATTTCCAAATTTTCAGATAATATGCGATGTACCGTACTTTTTGAAATGCCTACTATATCTGCTAGCTCAGGCACTTTCGGCCGACGATCATCCATTACCGCTTTGTGGATTTTCTTCACCATTTCGGGAGTCGTCACCTCATTTGGTCGACCACTGCGATGCTCGTCTTGGCTGCGCGTACGGCCTCGCTTAAACTCTGCTACCCAATATTTTACTGTTGTAAACGAGTATTGTATCACATAACGATGACCAATTTTCTCCGTTTTCACAAATTCACTGAAAGCGTTCTCTATTGACGGCTGCCAAGCATATACTAAACAACGTGGCGTCTTCAAACTTGAAACATATGCTTTATAAATTATGTACTTTTTAAGTGATTCACAGTGTTTTTTTTTCAAACAACTATCGCCATCTCTAGGTTAGGCCCGGTACTTTTGGGACCACCCTCGTATGTACATACGTATCAAATATGTATATACATACAATCATTGAAATGCATATTTAATTACCGTCATTGTCGTGTATCACTTTAATTGGTTTACTTTCTTTGCTCTGGATTTCGCTTGTTTTCAATTCTTTTCACTTTACCTAATTAAGACACCTATCCAATGGCGCTATTTTATTTCAATTAAAAAACAAAAAGCCTACTTAAGCCACGTTTTATATTTTATTTGTAAATTTCACGCTGAGGTCAAGTTTTTGCCCATTCGATTGTTGTTGGATAACTGTGGGACACTGTAGCTGATGTAGGTCATAAAATGGCAGACAAGATGACCGAAATTAATTTGAATTAAAATTAAGTTTACAACGGAATGTGCAACAAATTGGCTTTTCATTTATGTATTTTATTATGTGGCATAGACAATAGTACTCTTTTGTAAAACATGAAACCTTTCCCACACTTTGCAGTGAATGGGAATAAAACTTGTATTGTCTGGAAAAAGAATTTAGTACAAAAGATTGAGTGCGCTGGCACTAGCAGCATGCGCTGGAGCTTTATCATTTATTTTATTGAGTTTAAATGCTTAACTCGAAAGTGGCGTTAAATTGTGAGACAGCATGAAAACAATACACACTGTTAATTGAAGGAGAAGCTTGGTCAAATGCTTGGCAAAATATGTAATGTGCATAGCCATGTCATTATAGGCAGAGAAGAGAAGGCAGCAAATCACTTAGTTAACGCGGCCAAGGACGCTATATTTGAAAATACTTTTTCTTGATTACAGGCTTTCTTTTATAAGCTTATCGTTAAGGCATCTTGCGAGGTCCCTTTTTGAATGATATTTAGATTATTTGCTTCTAGGTGTGGTGATCCTAAGAAGCAAAATCTGAACTTAATAAGGCTTTGTAGCGTAATGTAATATGCTGTGCTGTTCCTGGGTAATTTAAACAAGTTAACTTTAACAGGTGCCTCAATACCTTGCAGTGGTCAGTAACAAGACGGGCAAGAGTTTCAATTTCGCCCCTTACAATTTAAAAGACAGCTTCAGTTCTTTTTGTTGGCATTTCCGAGAAGATGGGCTGACCCTGCCTAACACCTTGCCTATTTCTGTAGTAATGTTGCACTTCCATCATTATCCATATACAATAATTTCACCTAACGGAGTTCCCTGGTAGGCAAATGAAATGCAGGTTGCACCCGTGAGCCCTAGTACCCCAACTGTGCAACCTTATTGAGTTAAGCCTTGTTACTGGATCGCCTGTGTACTATCCTATTAGAGAAAGAAAAATACCCTAATATGTAGCTCTACGAAGCTATGGCACTGGACTTCGTCTTGTTCCATAATCCGGGCAGTGAATGTATGTATAAGCTTCTTATTCTCCTAATTGTCCTCCAAGAGGAGTCTTTCTGTAAACATTAAAGCCTCTTCATAGATAACAATGTGCAGCGGGGCATATCTAAATAGAATCGCCTTGAGAACCGCGCTTGGGTTTGTTCCCATTGCACTAGTGTTTCTCACGCAGGATAGTCTCTGGCGTTTGCTGAGCTTGGCCTGCGTGATCTTCACTTTTGTCTTCTTTTACTATACCGAGGCAGCATATGTTACTCGTAGGATGGAGTTGGAAATAATATCAAAGCAGCGACCTTGCCAGTTTGCGTCTGATGCTTGCGGCAAATATGAATCCGGACCTGATTTTCTGTAGATCAATCTAAGTATGTATGTAGGTACGGATTCCATAAGAGCTTTTTTCCAGGGATAGCTCCCTTATATTTGACTTATTTTGTTTCGTTCCTTTTTCTGGGGAAATTAACTATGTTGGTGATTTTTGGGTTTACGTTTAGCCCATTTTGGCTGCACCATTTAGCGATTATGCGCATTCTGTAGGAGGCTAGGTAATGTCAAACTAACCTGCGATTATGTGAACAAGTTATTCTCGTAGCCTTGAACTTCGAACCCCCTCTTCCACTAAAAAACTGAAGTCTTTTTTTCTACTGTGATGAATCATAATAGCGAGGTATGCACTCCACCATTCTATGGATACCTCCTTTTATTACTGGCAATCTGGCACTTTCCTCCCCTAGAGTGAATGTAATAGTTGTGGCTTTAAGGACCCTTGCTTCCTCTACTCAACCCATTTGTGCCGAACGGAAGAATCAATGAAAATTTTTCCGAGTTATTGAAAGCATCTTCTGGTCCAGAAAACCACCTACGGCCACCTCTTTGTTCTACACGTCCTTCACAATGAAAATGTCTGTAGCCAAATTTTCATCAGCCTTTACTCATTATTTTTCATAAAAATTTTAACCAGCTAAGGCTGCATTGAATAATCTTGGACTATTAAAAGTTTGTACCAGAAAAACGATGAAAGACAAAGTTCGCAGTATTTTGTTTCAGAAGTGGAAATTAATTTAGGATGAGCGATTCATTTAGGCGCTGCAAATGTGTACCACATAACTTATGAGGTGGGTTTTGTCGAAAGCTGAGGTGTGCTCAGCCGATCCAGAGTTCAGCCAAGATCCCACTAGACTAGACTATAACTAGAATGATGGCAACCTTACACCCAAAGAAATGGAGAGAGAGAGGGATGACATTCTTTTATTGCGGAGAGATCGGGTCGGAGCGTATGACGGTGACTAATGACGGATTTACTGGTTAGCAACGGTGAGGGCACTAGCAGTACGGCAGGGTGCGTGTCCCATACAAAATTTAAATGTCAATATTTTAAGGACCACCCTACAATGTAGCTATACAAATAATTATAAATGGCATGTAATTGCCAATAAATTAACAAAATATAAATATCGAAAAATACGAAGAAATTAAAACAAATATTTTGACACGTTTGTACATAACGATGTAATCAATACGTAGATATTTCATAAGTAGAATTACATTTCAAATTAATTCACATGAATTATGCATGCCAGCGGCCATAGTCTCGCTTATCCATTACCACATGCATACTACATACATACATATTTAAATATGTATAATGTATGTATGTATACCCGGAATTTGTGCAGCAATCACTGTTTGCAAAGCTGTGAGAGCGTCAACAACCCGCTAGTGCTACATTCTCGGTTCAACGCGTTTTGCAACCATAATTATGGCCAAATACATACATACATATATATGTATCTGCAAATAAAGATTTCCATTATAATTTTAATATAACTACAGTTTTATTTATTTGCTTTCTTTTTATTTAAATGGTTTGCGAAATTGTCGCTGCCGACCGAATGTACACATATAAATAAGTGCATACATGTAAATATATTAACATACATGCGAGTAGGTATCTACATACATACATATATGCAGTCAGCATGCAATCGTGGAAAATCTACAATAAGTTAATAGCTCTCAAATAATAATGCGGAATAAATACGGCACTTCTTGCGCATTAAAGCTTTTTAATCGACACACTTTTTTCCATATTTTCTCGCGCACCACAATGATGGCATGGCCTTTGTTGACTCTGCTACATACATAAGTATAGAGGATGCAGGAATCTAGGTCTACATGCATATGTATGGTTTGCATATAGGGTGTTATTTTTACGAAGTTGAAATTTTTTCAATTGATATGAGATACGAGACAGTTTTGAAGAGGAAAAGCGTGTTGCTTCAGCGATATAATCCTGTATAAATTGGTTAATTTTTGTGAAGAATTTGTGAGGGTTAGTGAAATTTGCAGGTGTCATCAAGACACATCCTTACGTGTACGGGAAGCAGCTCCGCCGGATATATGAGCCACCGAAAATGTATAGAATCATCTTAAAGCCTACTCACCAGCTCCCTACTCGCGGCGGTTGAAACTAACAATCAATTTCGGCGAACCCTCTATAAGGGATCTTAACTAGGAGATGCAAAACTACGACGAGCTACGTAGAGAGATTTTAGAGTCTAAGAATACGAACCGTCTCACGATTTGATTTCCTATTGTCATAGCATTTTCTAGAATCACAACCAGTAATAGTCTGCCAACCCGAATCGCACTCACTTGACAAAAAGAGATGGTTCAGAACCCTATATGGATATAAAAAACTTAGAGCCGATGGGAGAAAAGAGCTTGCAAGTAAGCATAGGTATTGCCCAAGTACAGACGTGCATAATGAGCTGAAAGATGAGCTGAAAAAATTTAGAAATTACCATTACCAATAGCATTACCATTACCATTACCATTTCCATTACCCATTATCACTACCATTATCATTGCCGTTACAATTACCATAGTAATTACCATTACCATTCCTTTTATCATTACCGTAACCTTTACCATTACGATAGTAATTCCCATTACTATACCGCTACCGTTACAATTACTCTCACCATTATCGCTATCATCACCCTTACTGTTGCTACTACCATACCATTAATATTGCCGTTACCATTACCCTTATTTTTACCCTTACCATTATTATTACCATTACTATTACCATTATTGTTACCATCACTATTTCCCTTACCTGTCAACTACATACTGCTACTTAACCTGGCATGAACAACCCCAGTAAACTGTCTATGGGCAGTTAAGTATTTATTTTTTAAAACTATTCGCACAATTTCTACTAATCCTCACCGAAAATAACCCACGAAAAGAACGAAGAGTTTTTTCAGACACCCCAAAACTGGAGGATATCGAAAATAAGGATACCCGTATTTTTTTATATTTTGAAATCAATTAATATTTAACCGTTCCGCCGGGGCTTTGCCTACATAACTTGGCTTACCTCCGCAGAATCGCAGCTAACGACCCCAAAGTATGCTTTTTTTGTGCACCCTTTATGTGCATACGTACATATATATATAAACACTTACTACTTTTGTTGTGTATACATTAGGGTGTTACGAAAAATGAGTTTACCGGAACCCGAGTCGGAATCCGAGTTTTAAACTTGATTTATGGAAGTCGGAGTCAGAATCAAAAGTCGGAGCAGAGTAAAAGATTCACTTACCTGAGAAATCAAATTATCAATTTCAATTGATTAGTTATTTGAAGAAGCCCTTTTGATTTCTCATCAAAGCGTCTTTGAGATTCATTTGTATTTTTGATCTTTTGAAGTGGGCTTGAAGCCGAGGGCTGGTCTTTTCACTTACACTCTTAAGGCATTATTCGTATTTAGTAGCATTCAAAGGCTTTAAATTACTTTGTAATGAGTAGAGTTGTACCACCTTTTCTCACATATTTTACAACATGTTTTTGGCCTCATTATTCAATCTATAAAAACAGTCACTTAGTTTAGAACAAATTAAAAGGTTAAAGCCAATCGGAATTTCCGACAATTCGCAAGCGAAGTCGAAGCTCCGTAACATCCCTACTTTATAAATACATACATATGCAGCTCTCATGCGGCCTCTATGACCTCAGGCCGTTTAAAGCCAGAAATTAAGAATTTATGAGTGGTCAGCGCGTCGAAGTGTATATGTGAATATTAATTATGCACATACGCAATGCGCAGTCGGACGGACACCCGCTGTATCAGGCCAAAACCCACTCACTTACTTACGCACCCAATACTGACAAACCACTTTAGCAAAATGGGAAATAAAAATCAGGAAAACGCGAGAAAAATTATTGTGTGCGAGATTGAAAGCAATAATAATTACAATTTCATTTCGTGGTTGCAACGTTTTGCGGCATAATTGAAAAGCGCATGTCCCTCGGCGCTGCGATAAATGCGAATACATGCATATGTATGTATGTATGTATGTACACAGGAGGACTTGAATCCTTGCAGCAACTTGTCAGGTCCTCCGGCAACAAATAATAGCGAATGTCGGATTGCCATTGCCAGTAGTTTAAACAAATTGCCGATATTTTTTTTTAAATCTTGTTTTCGTGTTTTTTAATCTTTTTATTTATTTATTGCTACTTGTATGCTACTTTCTGTCAATGCTTGCATATTAATTATAATGTCTTCGTGGCTATTTGCGCATTGTAAATGCGTTTGTTTGTATGTAGGTATTTTCGCGTATTTTTCCTTTACAAAAAAAAAAAAAATGCCACTGAGGTGTTGCGTTTATGTTGTGGCAATTAAAATGTCACAGTCACTGATAAATTACCATAATTGTATGATTGGCTATGGGACTCTGTATGAAAAGGTGTTATCGCCATTCACGATTTCATTAGTTTCCTGGCAGTTATTCCATGATGCGCTCATAGATCATTTTATAACTTTGTATAGATTCTGATTGAGTGCTCATTTAATAAAATGGCAATTAAATCAGATAGTGTGATTGATATCACTCATGTCGCTTAAGGCTGTTGATGAAGAATGCAATCGTTTGCGCTATTTAATTAAACGAAGAAGGAGATCGACATATTTATTAAGAGCGTAGTTCATAGGGACGATCCCTAAGCGGCGTAGGTCTAAGCTTAACCAAACCAAAAAATTTTTAAAACAAACGAAAAAATCAATATATTCTCTGACGTCAGGATTTTTTTTAAAGGACTTTGAAATTTCTAGGATATGAATGAATAAACAAATGTGTTAAAAGATTTGATGCATTGTAGAGTAACAATATGGGTATCAATTATAAGGAAAAATTC